CTCATATCTTCCCTCAGTCTGTCGTTTTCCCACTCTTTCTTGCAAGCGCCGTCCTTTTCGTTGGTCAACTTTTCGTTTCGATACTCTAATCGTCTTTCTCATGGCTTTCTTTTTCGTAGTTCTGCTGCTGGCAGCCTGCTCCAACATCACAACGGCTGGCCCGGTCCCAAAACTTCATCAAAGACAGCTGTAAGATCCACAGTGAATCTTCTAAAAGAATTTAACTAACTGATAAAGCTTTGCGAGCTTTTCAAACACTTCTTCGACAGTTGCTCCCGCAACTGATGTGCAAGCGGATACTGCAATCGTGATAGAGCCGATTAAGCCAACAGTTTTCACATCGATAGCACCAGCCGTCACATTTGTCAATCCTGGTGGAAAGCCACTTGCTACTCTAGACCCACGGACTTTCTTATCCACTTCCTTTATTACGCCGTCACCTGCACCAACAACGCAGAAGAGCACAAGCGCACTTCTTACATCAACCCCTGAACCGAAACCTGTGGAGAGCTATGTGACACCTTCTTCCTCGGCCGTAGTATCTGCAGCCCCCTCGAGCACGGTAGCAGTAGCAGACAATAGCACAACAAACCAGTCGAGTAAAAAGGTGCCCGTGTTCACCTACTCGCCCGCAGAAGATGAGACCTCCAAGGCCCCTGCTTCTCCCACGGTGTCTCTAACCAGTGCAACCCCAGCACCCACATCTGGCGGACTATCTGGCTTCCAACATCCTGGCTCAGCATCTAGGAGCCCACAAGCAGCTAATACTACTACCAGCGTAATCACTGCGAGTACCCCATCTCCTGTCATACAGGCTCCATCATCTGCAAGCTTTGACAGCTCCCCTATAATAATTTCTACCTCGAGTACGTCGCCTGTAGTGGCCCTCCCTTCAGCTTCACAGACTGTGGACATAGCATCGCGTGTTGTTGTGACACAGTATACAACCGTCTACGCAACACCCTCAGCATCCGAGGCTCAGGAGTCTCCTTCTCTGGCTTCGTCGACTTTGGACATGGCTAGTGTGTCTGCTTCATCTAGCTCATCTGAGATGTCGCCATCGGCATCACTACAAATTCCTCCCGTGATAATCGTCACATCGTTCACTACAGTTATGCCATCGCCAACACCAGAAGTGCCCGCTGCATCTGCAGCTCCCGCACCAGTTGTACCTAGCTCTGCAGCCCCGTCATCCGCATATACGAGTCCATCTCTAAGTGCTTCAGAGCCAACGCCACCTGCAGCCCCATCTTCGGCGTCCGCAACCCTCGAACCCACATCAACACCTCCCGTGGCACCCTCGTCTACTGCACTAGCCACGACAACACCGACACCCGAGAGTTCCATGCAAGTCGCCCCATCTTCACCGATGCCACCCCCACCAACCGTCTCCGCACAACCTTCCTCTTCCATATCGTCACCACCTCCTGCACCGGGTTATTCCGCCCAGCCCTCAGCATCCATGGCACCACCCCCAGCCCCCTCATCTTCGGCGTTGGCGTCGGCATCGACAACACCCCAACCTCCCCAATCACCAGCCCCCTCATCTTCAGCATCAGCGTCAACAACACCCCAACCACCCCCATCACCAGCCTCTACGAGTATCTCTTCAACCCCAACCCCATCGCCAACCCCTTCTTCATCATCGATGACATCGGAAGGCCCGCTGATTATTACGCCGATACCGCCTAGTCAAATTTTCACGGTAACGGCTACTGCGACTGTGACGGAGACGGAGAAAGAGACGGTCACTGCTACTGTTACTGCGAAGTGAGAAGATGAAGGGGGAAATGGGGTGGTGGGTAATGTGAAGGAGGCATGAGAGGAGGTGGGAAGAATAAAAAGACTGTTGTGTTTGATACCCAAGATTGTTGTTTAAAGATTTCTTTTGTTTAACTTTGTTATTTTTTTAGTAGCGCTTCGATTTGTTGTTGTTGTTGTGTGGAGTAGATGGTAAACAGAGCGATTGAGTGAGTGAGAGGAATTAACATTACACTTTACTATATACCTACAAAGCGAAACGTGCACATTTTCCACGTCTGTATATACCGCTAGAACTCGCTATTTCATACACACCCACCACGTCCTCATCACCTCAATATCCGCTCTGCTCCTTCCTCCCGCCCTCTCCATCCTCCCCACCACCACCACCATCACCCTCCCTCCTCGCACCCCCCTTCGCCTCCGCAATCCCCTTCTCATCGCCCCTCAACTTCTCAAAATACGCCTTGACATCCTCGGCCCCAACGGGCGTCCCACTCTCCGCAAACGGCTTCAAAAACGCCGCCACCTTGTCCTTCAAATGCGCATACGCCATGGCGCCCTGGATAGCGCGCACGCGATCCATATTATTGAAAGCTGCTTCGCCACGGTCTAAGATACTGCCTGTGCCGACGATTGGGCGCCTTCGCGTCGTTGTGTCGTCGCAGAGCGGAGACGGGGGCTCGTAGGTTTCTTCTTCTTCGAGGAGTTGGGTGTGCGGTTTTAGAAGGGGGTAGCATGTGTTACAGTGGCAGAGATGGTTGCGGAAGGAGGGTTTAAGGAAGAGGGAGAAGGGGGTTGTGTGGGCTTGTGGGGGGAGGGGAGGGAGGGTGGTGTGTTTGGGGGGTTCTGGGGTTTCCTCCGGTTTGTTCGGGGTTGCGGTTGCGCTCTCTGGGATGTTATTTAGAGCACCACTGGGGTCTTCGGACCTTTGTCGCTTAGCCGGTGCTGGGGCTGCAAGGGTTGAGGGTGTTTGCTGAGTTTCGTCTTCGTCAGTGGCTTTGCGTTTCTTGGAGTCGCTGGTTGTGGGCTCGGGGTCTAAAGTAATGGGTTTTGCTGCTTGTGCAACGGCCCAGGCTGAGGAGTGGTAGATGGGCGGGAGGAATCCTGTTGAGCCGGCGTACTTCTTGATCCATGGATTTGCCGCAACGCACTTGTAACAGATGAAGTGGTCAAAGTCTTCTTCAGCAGGGAAACCTGGAGGTAGTGGCGGGTCGTCATCTTCTTCTTCGACGCCATCTGCTGCAAGGTCATTCCCATCGACACCGTTGCCGTTTTCAACTGCAGCTGTGATAGATGTTTGACCTGGTGGTGCCATTGCTTCTTGGTTTTCTTCAACCTTCGTTTTTTCCGTAGCAGGCTTATCCACATCCATCGCATCGGTTGCGCCGTTCGACTCTTTAGCCTTGGGCTTCTCGATCATCTTGCTAAACTCCTCCCGCGTGAAGCCAACCAAACACTCGGGATGCCACCAATCCTCACCACAGCCACCATCATTGCAACTCCCAAGGCCCAGACATTGGAACATGGTGCCCTTCTCTTGGTCGGGATCGTATTCTTGACTACAGCCACAGAACTTATTCCTAAAGTTTTGGTTGTATTCGTTAGTTTTCGCTGGCTCTTCCCCAGTCACATCGCCTTTCCGGCCCGTCTCTGCGTTGATACGAAGCGTACATGGCGTCATATCGGGTATTCTTGTGGTACCGCAGTCGCATATGAAGTTCCGCTTACTAAACAGTTCGACGAGTATGTGTTCGCCATGGCAGGATATGGAGCACGAGTAGCAGACGCCTGCTGGGGTATACTGTTGTGCAGACGAGGCGGGCGCCGGGTTGCAGGTGAGGCATGCGTAGAGACTTTGTCGAAGAGGTCCAAGATCGCGTGTGCAAGTATCGAATTGCTGTGTGTTGTGAGTCAATGCGCATACGGTATGGCAAATGTACTGACATATGGGAGCGCTTCGCGTGCTTCTTTCTCGAGATTGAGTTGCTCTTTTATGAAGCTATTGGATTCTGGTCAGTTGCTGCAAAATGATAAGCCTCTTAATCACATACTCTGCTGCTGTCTGAGAGGTCTCTGATGCTTGCGACATGCTGCTGGTGCGCGCCTTGGAGGCCGTTGTCGCTGACTGTGAATCTGCCATTGCCGTGGAATAACGCGCAACGATAACCTTTAGCAATATACGTCGAGAGGCTTAGGATGATGATTTATGAATCCAGGTTCCTTGGAAGCCAACAGCGAAAACAAAACGTGGTGTTGGTAAGACAACAACCTATGGTGAGCGTGGGGAAGCCTGATGCGCCCGGTCGCTGATTGGCTAGAGCGATACCACTTTACGCGTGGAAAAGTGAAAGCGCGACGCGGTCGTGTTCTCCATCTTCTGCCCCTTCTCTAACACTGTTAACCCCGCATCACTGCCCCATTCCTTCTAAAGTATCCTCGTATTGCATGCAGGAGGTTTGAATTGAACCAGCATGAGGTATGCTCCCCAAATACACAGGTCCCCTAGACTGAGCACCGACCCCTGCCCCTCTCCACCACCAACTCAATACTAATAAACACACAGCTCACCACTTCGTTCCAACATGTCGTCCGCAAATCGTGGTGCTGGTCCTAGCAACAGGAACAATAAGCGTGCGAGAGATGATGAAGACATCTCTTCCCCGGCGGCGCGTCCGCCATCCAGCCGTAAGTGCGACGAAAACATCGGCCACAACAAACGACTAATAATGCATAGCAATGGCCTCGTCGCCTCCTATGCTTCCCCAAGACGAAGATGCAGACATGCTCGACGAAGACGACGTCATTCGCGATGTAGACGATTTGGACGAAGACGCCGAAGAGGCTGAGGGCATCGACCTCTTTGCAGACAACTTCGAGAACGACTATGCATCACGTGAGAACGATGCCTACGAAGGCCAGGGCATCGACGATGAAGGCGATTACGAAGAAATGAGTCTTGCGCAAAGGCGAGAGCTCGATGCACGTCTCAACGCCCGTGATAGGGAAGCAAGACGCCGTATGCCGGCTGCCTTTTTGCCAGATGAAGATGAGCAAGATGGGTTGGCAGGCCTAATGGGACGCCGCCGTGTCCGGAGACATCGATACGACGAGGAAGATGACATGGACATGGGCGATGATATCATGAACGAGGAATTGACACTTGAGGCGCTCACCGACGTAAAAGCCAACACATTGACCGATTGGGTTGCTCAACCGCAAGTCGCCAGGACAATTGCGCGAGAATTCAAATCTTTCTTGACCGAATACACAGATGAGCAAGGACACTCAGTGTACGGAGCCCGTATTCGAACATTGGGTGAGATAAACGCCGAGTCTTTAGAGGTCTCGTTCGACCATCTTGCCGAACAGAAAGCCACGCTAGCATACTGGCTAGCCAACACCCCAACTGAGATGCTGAAGATCTTCGACCAGGTGGCTATGGAAGTTGCCCTGCTTCATTACCCCGACTATGAGCGTATTCATTCCGAAATCCACGTCCGCATCACCGATGTACCTGTTCAATACACCCTCCGTCAGCTTCGTCAGACGCATCTGAACAGTCTGGTCCGCGTTAGTGGAGTCGTTACCCGCCGTAGTGGAGTCTTCCCTCAACTCAAGTACGTCAAATTCGACTGTACCAAGTGCGGTGTCACTCTTGGCCCATTCCACCAGGATTCCAATGTTGAGGTGAAAATCTCCTTCTGTCAGAACTGCCAGTCGCGCGGTCCCTTCACAGTCAACTCTGAGCGGACAGTGTACCGCAATTACCAAAAACTCACGCTACAAGAATCTCCAGGTACTGTCCCGGCCGGTCGGTTGCCTCGTCATCGCGAGGTCATTCTTCTATGGGATCTCATCGATTCGGCGAAACCCGGTGAGGAGATTGAGGTCACCGGTATTTACCGTAACAACTACGATGCTGCCTTGAACAACAAGAACGGATTTCCTGTCTTTGCAACCATCCTTGAGGCAAACTACATTGTCAAGTCGCACGATCAGCTGGCGGGCTTCCGTTTGACAGAGGATGACGAGAAGGAAATCAGACGGTTGTCAAAGGACCCTCGCATTGTAGACAAAATCATCAACTCGATCGCCCCTAGCATCTACGGACATACCGACATCAAGACTGCCGTGGCGCTTTCACTCTTCGGGGGTGTTAGCAAGGAGGCACCTGGTCGTCATTCTATCCGTGGTGATATCAACGTTCTGCTCCTTGGAGATCCCGGTACTGCCAAGTCTCAGATCTTGAAGTACGTTGAGAAGACCGCCCATCGCGCAGTCTTTGCTACTGGTCAGGGTGCTTCCGCGGTTGGTCTTACAGCTTCTGTCCGTCGTGACCCCATGACGAGCGAGTGGACCCTTGAGGGAGGTGCATTAGTGCTTGCGGACAAAGGCACCTGTCTCATCGATGAGTTCGACAAGATGAACGATCAGGACCGAACATCCATTCACGAGGCTATGGAGCAACAAACTATCTCTATATCTAAAGCTGGTATTGTTACAACGCTCCAGGCGCGCTGTTCAATCGTGGCTGCTGCCAACCCCATCGGCGGTCGCTACAACTCCACCATTCCCTTCTCTCAGAATGTTGAGCTTACCGAGCCTATCTTGTCTCGATTTGATATTCTCTGTGTTGTACGCGATACTGTCGATCCAACGGAGGATGAGCGCCTAGCCAAGTTCGTCGTGCACTCTCACGGTCGAGCGCATCCGCTTGTCAACTCAGCATACGGCTACTCTGATAAGGCGAAGAATGGCGAAAACGGCGATGACCAGATGGAAGTCGACGGAGAAGCCCCGAAAAAGGAGACCGAGATTCCACAGGAACTTCTAAGGAAGTATATCCTCTATGCTAGAGAGAAGTGCAGGCCCAAGCTGTACCAAATCGAGCAAGACAAGATCGCTCGTCTCTTCGCAGATATGCGACGAGAATCCATGGCAACTGGAGCTTACCCCATTACAGTAAGCACAACTGCCTTTATTTGCGGAATTCTAGCTAACACGGATAGGTTCGTCATCTTGAGGCCATCTTGCGTATCGCTGAATCTTTCTGTAAGATGCGCCTATCCGATTATTGTGCATCAGTGGACATTGATCGCGCTATTGCTGTTGCCGTTGACTCGTTTGTTGGCTCTCAAAAGGTCAGCGCAAAGAAGGCATTGGCAAGGGCTTTCGCCAAGTACACCCTTAATAGACCTGGCGCTGTTCAAGCCCCTGCACGAGGAGGGCGGGCGCAAAGGACGGCAGCATGAGCAATTTTCTTTCCGTTGAAGATGTGACTTTGTTTCAAGTATGACGGATATGTCAAGAGGCAGGACACGCAGTGCGTCTTGGATGTTGATGATATGAGGTGCAATGATACCATCTGCGGGAGCGTTATGTGGGTAGCTAGATTTTGTTTATGTAGTCACTGGGTGATTGGTGTTTATCTTTTTTTCCAATTCAATACAAAGCTTGTACATGAATCTGAGAGTTTCCTGTCATTACATCGAGATTTAATGTCGATATTCCCATGGCCATCCGCGTAAGGGTGGATCCGCTGAGTCAGCGTGCTAGCTTAGGGTAAATCTTGGCGTCGGCTCGCCCACAGAATTTTTGCAATTGCGCTACCCATTCATCATCCTAAACTCACCGACCGGAGCACACCAACCACCCTTAGGAATACCACAGACGACTTCCTACGTGCAACGATGGCCCCCAAGAAGAACAAGAGAACCGCCGACTCCATCAACTCGCGCCTGGCGCTTGTGATGAAGTCCGGTAAGGTCACTCTCGGCTACAAGTCCACCCTCAAGAGCCTGCGAACTGGCAAGGCCAAGCTCGTCATCATTGCCGGAAACACTCCTCCCCTCAGGAAGTCCGAGCTCGAGTGTAAGCATTGCTGTTTAACCAATTCGATGAGAGTATGTGCTAACGATGGACCAGACTACGCCATGCTTTCCAAGACCTCCGTCCACCACTTCTCCGGAAACAACGTATGTACACCCCACGTCCACTCTCATTGCCTAACGACGAGATATCCTATATACGAGGGAGTTTGTTCTTGAATTACTTGGTGCAATGACCTTTGAATTGAGTGTCAACCCTGGAAAATGACGAACTCCTTCGTATCGGGTTTTCTCCGAGGGCTGGCTCTGAGAAGAGGTCTGAACATGGCTTCGGAGAGCTTTCAACTAACCCCTTGAAGATTGAGCTTGGTACCGCCTGCGGAAAGCTTTTCCGTTGCTCCGTTATGTCGATCCTCGATGCTGGTATGTTATCAACTTTTTTTTACAAATGACACAGGCCGCTAACAGTCTTTTAGGTGACTCTGATATCCTCAGCACCAACACCGAGAACTAGATTCGCATCGTATATAAGGTGGAAGGCAATTAGACAAGATACCAAGGCATGGTACCACACCGTGTTCATGATGATATCCAATGAAAAGATTCACGAGCCACCAATGCTTTTTTGCCCATGCACTTCACCGTATATCATGCTTGTCTTTTTCAGTATTAGCGTTGCGTGGCTCTTCGCAGCAAAGGGGGTATGATGTGAGGTTGGTTCTGTTGATGGCTTGATTCTATAGTTAGCTCACGTTGGGCGAAATCAAAATGCTCAACATCTGCATCCCTTGACTCGTTCTCATAGCCAGGTATTGATGACTCCGGACTGCGCCGGACTGCACATTCACCTTCGCATATTTCCCAGACCCCTGGAACATGTAGTATCGGAGGATTGAATACATTATGCGAGTAGGCCTAATCCAGGTGGTTTCAGTCTTATCCTCAAGGCAACGACATGGTGATGTTGTTGAAACGGCAACAGTAGCAAATTCCCTGATTACCAACCAGGGCGGTGTGATAATGGTTGACAGACTAAACTGTGAAAACCAAAACCTCTTGTGCATAATCAAGGTTGACAGGCTATGAAACGGCCAACATGAGCTCATAGGCACATGTCGCCGGTTGCATGTGTGGCGGCTCCCCGCAATCAATGTGGCGCAGTTGCTTTGAAATCACTCGCTTAGGTGCTTGGCGTGGACGAGTCGAAATTGGATTGCTAAGCCGCGACGACGACTTTCCTCGCACTCGCCTTCGACAACCTCCCCACTAACACTTAAATACAGGGTAAGGTACGGCTGTCGCATATCTCTCTGCTCGTAGACGTTTTACTGACAGCTGCATCAGTTTGCACGCCCACACTCTCTCGCCACAACCTCCGGACACCCGCTCATTGATTTCAAAGCAGGAACAACCGTCACAATGGCCCGCCGTCCCGCCCGTTGCTACCGCTACTGCAAGAACAAGCCCGTACGTCATACTGGGGATATCGCGAGAGAAGGAATAGCAGACTGACTGGGTTGCAGTACCCCAAGAGCAGGTTCAACCGTGGTGTACCCGATGCCAAGATCCGCATCTTCGACCTCGGTCGCAAGAAGGCCAACGTAGACGACTTCCCGCTCTGCATCCACTTGGTCTCCAACGAGTACGAGCAGCTGTCCTCTGAGGCTCTTGAGGCCGCCCGTATTTGCGCCAACAAGTACCTCGTAAAGAGCGGTGGAAAGGAATCCTTCCATCTCCGTGTCCGTGTCCACCCCTACCACGTCGTCCGTATCAACAAGATGTTGTCGTGCGCTGGTGCCGATAGATTGCAGACGGGTATGCGTGGTGCTTTCGGCAAGCCCAACGGTCTTGTCGCTCGTGTCAACATCGGTCAGATTCTCATGTCCGTCCGGACTCGTGACTCTAACCGCGCCATCGCTCTTGAGGCTCTCAGGCGATGCCAGTACAAGGTACGTTGAAAGAAAAGGCCTGATGACAAATGTTCCAAAACTTACACATGATAGTTCCCCGGTCGCCAAAAGATCATCGTCTCCAAGAACTGGGGTTTCACTCCTCTCAAGCGTGACGAGTACGTCGAGCAGCGCCAGGCTGGAAAGGTCAAGATCGACGGTGCCTACGTTCAGTTCCTCCGCAACAAGGGTAACCTCGCCAACAACATCAAGCGTTTCCCTACCGCTTTCGAGAACGCTGCTTAAGTTCGGTTCGAGGAGACGAGTTGGTGTGCATGATAATCATGGGTCCAATGGGAATTCGGTTACGGCGTGATTTGCTTTCTTTCAGTTATGGATGAAGGCTGGGGGTGAATATCTGCGGCATGTAACTGTAGAGAGCTACCAAAACAGCCCGACAATAACAAATGATACAAAAACAGCTGTACTGTCAATGACCCTGTTTGCGCAATTGACGTGTGCACAGTTGATTCTGAGACGATGTCTAGCAGGGGAGCCAAGCATCGAACCGATGTAGTACTTATACTCAGATTACTAGAGCCATGCAAGTTATCCAAGATAGTATTGGGATAAGCTAATCGTCCTTGCTATGTACAAATGCTGAGTGGTATATTTCCTAATCAATAAACGCCTACCAACCCCATATGCGAATGCAATAGAACACGAACAAGTCTCTCTTTCAAACACCAACACCAGCGCCCCTACCTTCAGCCTGCGCCCTCGAAAACTGTTGCAAGAGCTGCAGGACTCCCCCACGATTATTTCGCGGTGCTTCTTCCTCCTCCTCGTCCTGTGCAAGACGACTCGTTCGCCACGAGTCGCCGAGCGTACTCTCCTCTTCGATACGCGTATTTGACGGTCCCGGTGCATCAGACACTGGCTGGAGGGGCGTGCGATATCTGTTGTTCGCCGCCTGGCGTGGAGAGCCACGTAGTATCGATGCTGAAGAAGGCTGGTGATGTGGATCAAGTAGGACGGAGTTGAAGGAGTCATCTCTAGCGCCTGGTCTATGTCGCGGTGGCTTGTTCTGGAAACTGGGCTGTCGACCGGTTGCTGGACCTCTGCTTGTGCCCCTCGCTGTGGCCACATCTACAGGTTGAGCAGTCTGCGACATTGTGCCAAAGGTATTGGGGAATTGTGGTGGAGGGTGGAAGTTGCTGCGGCCTTGGAGACGGCCATTGGAGCCGCGTGCAGGGGTCTGGTAGGTGTCCAGGAAGCCGTAGTACGAAGCCATCATCTTGTTGTCCTTTGCCATGAAGTAGTCCTCGCGGAGATCGGGATCCTCTCTACGAGCCCCGGGTGCGTTTGCAGGGATGTTATTAGCATTTCGCGTGGTTTTTGTAGAAGGGAACATGGAGTACGAGCATGTTACGCCCAGGCCGTCTACGACGATGGAGAACTCGCGGAAGAAGTCGACGATGCGTTCACTGCACTTTGGGAGGCGGAATATGAGTAGGAATGGTGTGATAACCATGCTTAGTATCTCCTCTGCAAATATGAGGATCTTGGGTTGGTATAGCTCGGTGAACTCGGCGCGGACTTCGTCGGTGTGTAGCCTATCACGCCAAGATTCCGGCTCATAGCGAGTGTGGTAGATGACATGGTTGAGGTAGTAGGACGGGTCAGTAACCTGATCATCCTGCGGACTGCTTCCACGTGCGACACGGTAAACCGTAGTAAGAATTCCTATCCAGAAGATGGCTGTCTTGCCGGGCGTGATTTCGAAGTTGAGGAATAGTTCGGAATCGAGAAGTGTGAATACTACAAGAACGAATGCAAATGCTCCAGCAACGAATGCAACGAAGGAGGAAACCTGTTCAGTCTTATCCTTGGGGAACTGGGCGAGGTAGAGATTTGCATATGGATATGCCATGTTACGGCGGCGAGCGAAATAATGAGGAAGCTCGTTGAATTCGCGGAATTTCCATTGGGCAAAGGTCGTGAAGTCTCGGTTAGAGAGTTGGCCGGGATCCTTGTGGTACTCTGTGAAGTATTTGAACATGTACGAAGCCAACACAAATACTACCGCAAAAGGCGCACAGATAATACTGATGATACCGGTCCAGAAGAAGCGAGTCCTGAGCCTCTTAACCAGCTCGCGTCTATTTCGCTCTTTGAGGAAATCCGGGTTGAATTGGCCATTCGGTCCACTAAACACAAAGTCCATGATGGCAAGGTTGACGTGCCATCTGGTGGTCTCGGAGAAGATGTAGCGGTTGCCCAAGAATGGTAGAGGGACTGTAACATCCAGTATCTCCTTATTGAAGAGGGCAATCAGGTAATTGTCGCGTCGCATCAGACGGCCTGCGATGTCGATGGCATCCAAGCGCTGCCTACTCTTGGAGTCAAGCAACTTACGCGTTTCTGGGGATAGATTTGAAGCAGTCGCCAGGTTTAGATCTCGCAACGCCATTATCCGTGTGACAATCTGCTGCCACTGTATTGTTTGAATGTCGCGGTCGGGAATATCGAGTAGGTGGTGGTAGAAGTCGTGCATGGCTCGAAGCCGGGGTATGTCTGTGACCATGTTGTAAAAAGAGTAGAGCCAATAAATGATGAAGAACCACAGGGCTAAAATCCAAAAGCCATGTATCCTTGGAACAGTCAGTTTTGGCCTTGCTAGTAGTCTTGGGAGAGTTACCTTGCAGCGCATTTGGGCACCAGGACCTGACTCATCTTGTTGCTCGAGGGCAACTTGGAGTAATCGATGCACCATCCGAGGAAGGTCATGAATCCCACAACGAAGGCTGTTTGGGCGAGTGTCAAAAGCCTGCGTAGGAGGATGGAATATATGCCGCATCCAACGTAGTATTCGTACACCTCAGTCATGTAGCTGTCTAGATCCGTCTGGTTCACCCACAACCACATGGCCTTCTCTTTGGGGTCTGCTGCAAAATGCCCGGGCCTACTGGTATGTCCCCAGGGCCGTGAAGGCCCACCACTCCTATCCTCAACGTGAAGTCGCTGCTGGGTCCGTGTGGCTTCCCATTGTGCCCGTGTCTGTCGCGTTGTCGGGCCTGGCACTGGCATAGGGAGACCTTCATTGCGTTGGTTTGAGCTTGGACCGGGTTCATGTCCAGCTTCGAGAAGCAAAGACTGTGGGACATCATCGTCATCGTCTAAAGGCACGGTGCGGGCTGGAGCAGGCTGTCTCCATGCTGGTATGCGACCGGCAGTATGGTGGCCTGGTGGTGCGTTGCGCTTGACGTCTGGGGAGACGGCGCGGCTTTCAGGGTTCATCTGACTTGACGATGCTTCCTCGAGCAAGTGTGCCAGGTCTTGCTCCTCAAAGCGCGCGCCAAAGTTCTCCTCGTCTATGTCCATCTCGTGCTGCTCATCGGTCGAGGCGGAGTCGCGGCGGTGGTGGGGATTTAGTGGCTCGTCTTCGTATGGCTCGTCTGAAGCCGAAGGGAGAAGTCTAGACAGCAAGTTTGACGCCATCATGGTCGAAGTGTCGTGATAGACTCAGGCAACGGCGGGGCGCGTGGCCGTGCAGCACGGCGAGGGAGCGTTTGAGTAATAGTGTGATCAGAGGACCGGCAGCGTGATCCCCAAAATATAAGACGAGCCTCCATGAGCACCGGAATAAACCTATCCAGTGACCATGGTATGTATCAGCGTGATGTATTTGTCTGAATACAGTTCCAAGGTTGCAGCTACGATGATGCGCCTCTTTGACATGCAGGTGCGCTCCAATGCAGGTGACGCGCCCGATAACGATAACGTTAAGCTCGGCTGCACTTGCCGCCTGCCCGCCCGATATGACACCTTTCGGGCGCCCCAAGTCACAACACCTATCCAACCATGTCGGTGAGCTATTTCCAGGACCGAGAAAATGCTACTCAAAATGGCCTTTCCCCGTCTACTCCGTCTGTAGGAGCTGCCTCGCGAGGCACAAATGCCCTCTCGACTCGAATTACAAATGTGCTCTCTGCGTCATATGCAGACCTAGAAATCCGCGATGCCCTGGAGACCTTGGATGCACGTGGAGTGCAGAACACTGCAGAGACCAGACGCCAGCTTCGTCTTGAAGTGCAAAAAGAGGTCATTCAGTGTAATGGGGAAATTATCAAAGATTTTGGCCAGGTTGCGGAGGTATGTTGGAACACGAGAATGGGGGGATATCAAACTGAACCTCACTAGCAACTAAAACGGATTGGGACGGCTATTAGTAGCCTGAACAGCTACTGTGCGGATATGCGCGGCCATATTGCAGCCGCCAACCAGGAAACTGGGCCCGTCTTGGAAGAAGCCACGAGTTTAATTAGCCAGAGGCAGCAGGTGGAATCCAAACAGCAAATCTTGAACGCCTTCACTTCTCATTTCCTGATATCCGAAGAAGACGCCACAGTCTTGACTTCTACTGCTGAGCCTGTCAATGAAGAGTTCTTCCAGGTGTTAACCCGAGTCAAAAAGATACACCATGACTCCCAGGTATTACTGGGCACAGAAGATCAACGACTGGGCTTGGAGGTACTAGAGCAGAGTTCAAAACAGCTGAATGCTGCTTTCCAAAAGCTCTATCGATGGATCCAGCGAGAGTTTAAGACGCTGGATCTGGAGAACCCACAAATAAGCGCATCTGTGCGACGATCTCTGCGTGTGCTGGCCGAGCGACCTACCTTGTTCCAGAGCTGCCTCGACTCGTTTGCCGAAGCGCGAGAGTCTATTCTGTCCGACTCTTTCCATGCTGCATTGACCGGATCAACGTCAGAAGAGCATATAGCGACTAAGCCCATCGAGTTCCATGCTCATGACCCATTACGCTATATCGGAGACATGCTAGCATGGGCACACTCTGCAACTGTTTCCGAAAGAGAAGCACTTGAGAACCTCTTCATCTCGGATGGTGATGAGATCAAGCGTTCGATCCAGGCTGGTCTTGAAAGCGAACCCTGGCTAAGAGGTGACGAAGATGCAGAGGTTTTCGATGGCCGAAAGGCCTTGAACCAACTCGTCAGCCGTGACCTCACAGGAGTGGCTCGTCTGCTGAGACAGCGGACTGAGCAGGTTGTTCAAAGTCACGACGACGCGACACTTGCTTACAAAATCGCAAACTTGGTTGCCTTCTACAAGGGAACCTTCACAAAGCTGGTCGGAGCAGACTCTGACGTCTTAGATCTGTTCGATACATTGGAATCTTCCGCAATGCGGCAGTTCCGTGCCAACATGAGAGACTATGTCGTTAACGTACAAAGCGATGTTGTCATAGCACCAACTGACCTGTCTCCGCCGGAATTTCTGGAAGGTGCGCTCCGGATGCTGAGAGTACTTGCAAAGAGCTACGATACATCAGTTGCTGCAACGGATGATAACGGCGAAGGATTTCAGACTGTGCTTGCAGAAGCATTAGACCCCTTCTTGGATGGTTGCGAGAAGCTACAAAAAGGAATGAAAGAGCCCGACAGCGCCATATTTGCTATTAATTGCCTCTTCGCGGCAAAGGAAGTCCTTGCACAATATGCCTTTGCTGAAGAGCGGGTTAGCGAGATGGACGACACAATTGATGAAAATGTCGCCAAATTGACGGCCTATCAACACCAGTACTTGATCCAAGAGTCGGGCCTGGCCACTCTTCTCGACGCACTCGCAACCATCACCGACACTCCCGAGAGCCTCAAGACGATACCAGAACTGGATGCTTTTAAGCCGGATGCACTTGTTGCTGTCAGCCAACAATTGGATGAATTCCTTCCATCTGCACTCATCGACGCATCCGAGAACATCAAACGGCTGCGTAACAGGCAGATGATACAAGATATCACAGAAGCAGCGGCTAGCAAATTCTGCGAGGACTTTGAACTTGTGGAGGCAAAGATGATAGCTGCCGACGATTTGACGTATGACGAAGAGAAAGAAGACGAGGATCAGGAGCCCGGGTTGAGAGATATGTTTCCCCGTACCAGTGGTGAGATACGGGTGCTGCTCAGCTAGAGCGCTTGGTATAGCGAGTATGTACGTGTTGTAGAAAGAAAAAACCACAATTTACTGCAGCCATGACCATGATTTTTGGTGCATGCTACTTCGTCATACTTGATAGGTTACTCAAATCGCCTATCCACGCAGTCGTCGTTGTCCTTCACTGTGGCTTTTTCTTCTCCCACTCTTCCGGTGTGTGACACTTCGGGGTCCAGGCATGTATCGCAGCAATTTCCTCTTTCAAGGTTGTATTGACTAGCCTGTGCCGTGCCAATGTAGTCTTCTTTGCGAACTGTGGTGATACGATAATAGCTTCGTACATTTGTCCGCATCCGCCTATGTCCGAATATTAGCAGACTCCCATGACCCCTCGCTCGTGTAGACATGCTGAAAATTTCGCGATAGAGCTCTGTTTTCTCTTAGAAATCTTCATTACATACCGCTTAAATCCTCGATTTCAACATATGTTGCTCCCAGCCCTTGCTCCAACTTCTTCTTAAGCCCCTCCATGGTCACGCCAGAGGTAGCCTGTACATCCGCCGCCTCTCCATCTGTTCTGGCACTCATAGTGGCTGTGGTTTTCTGGTCGATGGCAAGATTATCGAGTGTCTTGTGGAGTTTGTGACGGGGATCCATGGGCAATGATGTGATATTGATGGTGTTCCTATCTTCGGATCTGATAAGATGTGGTTACCGAATAGAGCAAGGTCGGCTTTAGCATGAGGAGGGGCGCGCCCGGGCGATGACGCACCTTCTACCGGTAAGCAGCAAGATCAGGGTTCATTGGCGCGTTGAGTCGGAAGCAGCACGCGTGTATTTGTCCTGCAATTGTTCTACCCTAAGCTGCATGTTTGCGTCTACGGCAAGACGATTCGCAATGAGTGCGACTACCACATCTGCGCCGTTTTCCAAGGCTGTTGTGAGAGCCATACGGAAATTGTAAGTCGCTGCTCTTTTGCGCTGGACATGTTCTGCACGACAAAAACATACACAGCAGACTGTACATAAGACATCACTGCGCAGTACTAACAATTACCAAGATATCCACGAGAGCTCGCGGATAACTCTTGGGATAACACCGGCTTGCTGTTGGAAGCGCCTTTCAACTCCTCTCGTCGCCAGTCGAACACCGTCCTCCTCACCATTGATCTTACAAAAGCCGTCGCCGATGAGGCAATTGCGCTCAACTCTTCGATAATCATCGCATACCATCCGATTATATTTAGAGGCTTGAAGTCTTTGACACTTGCCGACACACAACAGCAATCACTGTTACGGCTCGCTAGCCATGGCATCAGCGTGTACAGCCCACACACAGCTTTTGACTCAGCACCAGGAGGGCTTGGAGATTGGCTAGCAGACATTGTTACGGGGACGAAGATAGGAAGTGACTTGCCGAGTCCAGTTGTGCAAGCGGAGTCTCCAGGTCCTAGGAATGAAGAGAACAACGATGACCCCTTCGTCGAGAAGAAGCGCCCAATTTTCACCTTGAATCACCACCCCAGCCAACCTCTCCTACGCTTTGGCATACCTTCCCCCACCGACCCGGTCACTGCCCCGCATGAGCGTTCAGCCATCAAACCGCAATCGCCAGAACTCCCATCGCATCCCAATGCAGGCATGGGTCGCATTGTAAAGTTCAAAGACCCGCAGCCACTTCCAATGCTGCTCGATCGTATCGGAAAGGGACTTCACAACCCCAAGGGTTTCCCAATAGCCATACCGCAAGGCAAATCAATCGCCGACATTGAGGTTCGCAGCGTGGGCATCTGCGCAGGCTCAGGCTCAACCTTGCTCAGCGGCCTAGACGTTGATCTACTGTTCACGGGCGAGATGGATCATCACGCAGCGCTTGCGGCGATCGAACAGGGACGAGTCGTCATCAGTTTGTTCCACAGTAACTCTGAGCGCGGCTTCCTATCAGAGGTGCTACTAAGCCAGCTAGAAGATGCTGTACAAGAGGAGTGGACAAAGGTCAGAGAAGAGGAGAAGGACAATGAGCAGCTCAAGGAGGCATTGGAGGAGTATGATTTCGATATTGTGGTCAGCGAGACTGACAGGGATCCGTATGGCATTGTGGTGCTGAAAAGCGAAGCTTAGATGATTTTCCGCGGTAGAACAACGACAATGACTGTGGGATAAAAAAATTCTACAATGCAAAAAAACCACGATTATGAGCAGAGAAGAATCTCAAACCGTGAAAGCCAGACTTTGGCGTGAAGATGCCACGCCCGCACATGTTGCAGGCATACCCCCACATTCCAAAGTTCCGTCCCACAGTAAGATGGCCTGAAACGCTTAGCCGAACACCGGCCCACAAGCCCTGAACCAAATTATCCACTCGCGCCCGCTTACCTTGCACTAAGCCTACCACCCGTAACAAATCTATGTATATAAATAAAACTAATGGGTTTTCTTCCATCGAAACTCGAAACCGAAGCGCGATTCCGCGTTTTCATCTCTATAAACCTCCTCCGTGGCGCAATTGGCTAGCGCGTCTGACTGTTACTATTAAAGTGGCTTATCAGGAGGTTGAAAGTTCGAGCCTTTCCGGGGGAGTTTCTTTTTTTGCTCCGACAGTCAGCCTGATCTGATAGGGTTAAATAGTCAGGCTGTGAGTAGGAACTACACCACAGCTAAGCAGTCTTTTTTTGCCTTATGTAGAACGGGTTTATTTTAGTAAGTCGTGGAGGTTAGTCTAGTAGTATTGTTGTGGTTAAGAAGTGCTATTGCTGATATTTGACATTCGGATGTGGTTATTGGAACTAAAACTAATATTTAATGGCGGCTAATCTTGAAAAGCTCATATTCGACACGCAATCGATCATTACACAGATAAAAAAACAATCTATCGTACAGGGCCTCAAGTAACAAGTAACTTTGGAAATTACTATAGATTCAGTGTAGCTCTGTCATTTTCACTTCAGCACCGCGCATCGACCCTAACAATGACACACTGCTTTGACATGGTATCATACAAGCCAAACTCGCTCACAGTCCTCAGGCAAATCTCCTCAAGTCGAGCCCTGACCACAACCGTACCCGCACAATTCTGTCGCCTAACACCAACTTCTGGATTCCCACTTGGAGAACGCAACTCTGGTCCCAAACTAGGCATAACCCTGCTTAGTAACGTCCTCCTCGACGACTGTCTTGTCGGTGTAATCTCCTCTGCTCTCTCTTGCACTGGCGCCGCACCCGTCAAAACCGGACTCGCATTCAAACTCTGACTCAGTACCTGCTCCAACTCCTCAATTACAGCCGGAAGTCGCCAGAACTCCGTTCGGTTCATGTGGCCGTCCAGGCGCACGACACGTGGCTCATCTTCAGAGGCGAAGCCGATGACTTGTACGGGTGCGGAATCGCTGGAGGTGTCGTCGAAGCTGAACTCTGATTTTTCAGGGACTTCAGGTAGAGGGATGTCTGAGGGAAGAAGGGCGATGGTTGTTTGTGCGATACCGTAGGTGGCGCGTTCTTCGATGAGGGGAATGATGTGTGCGTTGAGGACCGAGTGGATTTGGCGGGTGCGGATGCTGCTTAGTTGGTTGAGGATTGTGTGACTGCGGGAAGAGGAGGAATACGTTTGTTCCGAGTATGGTGGAGGAGCATCCGAGTCTTTTTCTGTGGAATACATCGTTGATGGTGTTGTTTCGCAAGACCTTGGTGTTTTGGGAGGTGATGGTGGTGGCCAGAGTAAACGTGTCCGTGTCGAGGCGCTATTGATTGCAAAATGCCCGAGCAGAAATGAAAATTGGTCTTGGTCGTGGTATTTCCGAGATTATGTTCTCTGGTTGGTTACTTGCTCTCGTTACCAGAGTCTGTCGTTGTTCCCGGTGGCGAGGTCGGCAAGTAGTATCCGGTCGTACCTAGATACACCTCAGAAGTCTGCCTAGATATCTCGGCCCCGTATCACTTATAGTCACAATTAGCGAATACCAGTATCCATACGATGTCTCATGATATTCTGAGCCCTGGGACTAAGTGGTACTGTGAATCATGCACGTATTCAAGCGAATCATGGATGTGTTGATGCAGTGCCACCGCACAGCGCGGGCCGAGCGCCTTGGCAGTTTGCAAATGGTACACTCTGGTGGTCAGACAAATTTTAAGTTATGCTCTGGAAGTTATGTGATGTCGTTTTTAGACTAGGTAACTGTGAGTGCGTCTGGCCTAGTGGACTGCCTAATGGGCTATGGAAGACGGAAGGCGCCTACTTAGGAAGTCGACCAGCCTGAATAGTTCACAGAAGATGGTTTCTAGAAGGCGAAATTCACTATGCCCAAGGCAACCATCCATGGGAGCGTGGCTGTGTCCAAGGCTGAATCCACATGCACTGTATTGTGTCTATACCTATTTTGGCTTAGTGCCCGTCCTTAGGCCTTCCATGGTGGAACTTCATCCGGATAGGCTCACCGGGTGACACTACAGGCTGAGTTTCGCGATGGCAACAAACACTGCAGGAGACTGATCCAATTCGATGGTATATAAAGGAGCTGAGGTGTGGCCCTTCTGCCTGGTCTACCCGAACATATCTATCGGAACTGCCTCAACTTTGGTGCGGTACAGCACAACCACAACTTTGGTGCTCACGAGCAAGTTGCACCTTCGCATTACATTTACCTAGTTTCAATCTTCTTACACACATACTATCTTACCGGGTTTGCACCTTCTATACTATATAAGACATACCTATCCACCAAAGCTGCAACAATCACTACTTCCAACTTCCTTCGACTTTACTTCGACAGGAACCCAGCTTCGCCAAACCCCCAGTTACCGCAACATCAAAGTCATCTTCATCTACCTTCAACATGTGGTATCATGTGGCCGAACCAAATGCCTACCTCGTCATCACGGGTGTAGGCATTCAGAAGGTCTTAATCAAGAAGAAGGCATTCGTATACCCTTTGCAAAAGGTTTCCAAGATCTCGATTACGCCTTTCGACTTCTCCATGGCCCTCCAGGCTATGACCATTGAGAAGCTCAAGTTTTCACTACCAGCAGTCTTCACGATCGGTCCCGCTGATAACCCCGAAGCTCTCGAGAAGTACGCTGTACTGCTCACAGGTGAAAGCGACGGTAGGCCGACTCAAACTGCAGCAAAGGGAGTTGTCAGTGTTGGAGAGGGTCGCAGCCATGTTCAAGACATTGTCAAAGGTATCATTGAGGGTGAGACCCGCAGCATCGTCTCCACCATGACCATGGAGGAGCTCTTCCGGGAGCGCAAGATCTTCAAGGAAAAGGTCATTCAGCAAGTCCAGTCGGAGCTTGACCAGTTTGGACTTTGCATCTACAACGCCAACGTCAAGGAGCTGCAGGATACTCCGGGATCAGAGTACTTTGCCTTCCTCTCCCGCAAGGCACACGAGGGCGCACTCAACCAAGCCAAGGTCGATGTTGCTCACGCTCGTATGCAAGGTGAGGTGGGAGAAGCAGAGAAGCAGGGAAAGACCAAACAGGAAGTCGCCAAGATTCACGCCCAAACCGCCGTTCTCGAGACCGAACGCAAAGCCGAGAAGGCCACTGCGGACGCCAAATTCACCGACAAGGAGATTGAAATCGGTCGTGACCTTAACGTAGCTAGGATCAACGCCAAGCGTGAGGCCGAACGTCGTGATGCCGAGCTCCAGATGGAGGTCGAGAAGAAGAGGGCACTTATGGAGCTTGAGCGTCTCAGAGCCACCAAGGTTGTACAAGCCAAGATTGAGAAGGAGTCCTCGCAGCAGAAGGCCGATGCGGAGCTGTATGCCCAAGAGAAGGCAGCAGAGGGTAACAAGTACACTGAGCAAGCCGAAGCCGAAGCCGCCGCATTCCGTCTTCTTCGCAATGCAGAGGCAGACTTCCAGGCCAAGGAGCGCGAAGCCGAGGCCAACTTCATTGTCAGCAAGCGTCGTGCGGAAGCCGAGTACTTTGCCCAGGAGCGCGCCGCCCAAGCTCAACTCATCACCCAACAGCGTGAAGCTGAGGGTCTCTCCGCAATGGCCAAGGCCTACGGTGACATGGCTAATGTCCTCGGTGGACCTCAGGGTCTCATGCAGTACCTCATGATTACCAACGGTACCTACGAGAAGCTCGCGGTCGCCAACGGTAACGCTATCCAGGGTCTCCAGCCCAAGATCAACGTCTGGAACACGGGTAGTCAGGGCGCTGATGGCATGGCGGATCCTTCGGCTCCTATTCGCAACCTCTTCCAGAGTTTGCCACCTCTTCTCAGCACTATCCATGATCAGACGGGTATGTCACCGCCCAGCTGGTTGGCGCAGATGCCGCAGCAAAACGGCGACAAGAGCAAGATGCACTTGAGGAACGGCAGTGACATCGACTCGTAGACTAGCCAGAGTTGGGGTTGTCAGGCGTAGTTGATGGATATAGCTTCTAATTAGGATTTTTTGATTATAAATTA